AAAGAACCTAGGTAATAAAAGTCAGATCCTCAGTAGAGGTGATGATTTATTATGCTAGCTCAGACTTCAACTTTCACCAGATAGCTTCAATTGTAGATTCAGTCATAATAAAACTTCTATTAGGTTAAATTCCACCTCTTGCAGCATCTCGCCTCCTTAAACATCTTATTTTCTATTATAAAAGTTATTCCATCCATCCAAGGACAGGGGATAAGAGGAAAAAGTCTCTGTTTGTGTCTGTGTCTTTATCAGTTTCCAATTTCTGTTTCAGGCGTGACGTAGTAATAAATTACCGGTATGTCTGGGTTTAAAGCTTGTTTGCCGCTTCCAAGATTACACTATCTTCTTCAAAATCAGCCACTTAAGTTTATTTTGTACTTACTGAAGCCATGTTGAGATCAATTAGTCCCTGTTTATGCAGTCATTCATAAATCTTCATGCTTCCTTCCTGCCCGCGGAGCTTCACAGCTAAGACGACATTAGAAAATGGCGTTGGAGGAATCCTCTGTCTGGAGAAAGGATGACCTGAGGAGTGGTTGCCTTCCACCACCACCCAGGAAATCTCAGCTCTCCTACGACTCAGGATGGCCCCTCCTGGCCCTCCCTACCCCCCAATTTTTGGGGGGGAGCCTGGATTCACGGTATGCAGCAGAATTCTGGAGAGCCCAGATTTCTTGCTGCCTCGCTGTTTCTAGCTCCACCCCTCCTCTTAAAGATAGCTAGTTTGTGGCCCTCTCCACTCCCTGGATTTAGCCCTGCTGTTCAAGAGACCAGTCCTTTTGTAAGTATTTTTTATTAGAAAAATAGTTTCATAGAATCAGTTTATATTGCTCAAATTTAGCATAAAGAACATATTCAAATATTATTACAGTTAAATAAAATAACTAATCCCCATTAAAATTAAAACCACTACTAAGCTGGGCTAGCCCCACCTCCTTCTTTCTCTTCACTTACATGCACTCTCCTTCAAGCCACATGCCCAAACCATCAATTTCTCTTTCTCTACCATCATCATGGAATTGAATTTCTCCCACATAACCAATCATTCATTTTCTACATTCTCTAACTCCTCCCTTCTTCTTGACACTTCATGTCTGTTAACCAATTAGCCTCAAGAGGTTGTAACACCTTCCTCCACCTTCAATTCCAATGAAAATTCAGGTGTTTTATCTCTTCTCTGATAAGCTCAGAATGTTGAGTCTTCCACAGGCCTCTTTGTCTAACCTTCAGCTTTATCTTGAACCACGTTGTACCAGTCTTCAGAAAAAACACTCTCACAGCACTTAGAAAAACACATTCCAATGTCTTTCAAGTCATCTTCACACAGAACCTGTCTGACTCCATCTTGCATTTCTCTGACTACATAGCCCACACTGCTTCAACTCCATCACAGTGCTATGTAAGGAATGGAACATGCAGGAGAAGCTGGAAGTACGGTGTGAGGGTCCGCTATTCTTCACCTCCCCCGTCCCAAATAAAGCCGTAGACGCATTTGAACAAAACCATTTGTCTTCTTTATTTAACTGGGGTAAAGGGATAGAAATGTCAATCAACTTGGGAACAAACTTCTCCTGCTGAAGTAACGGTTCATA